ATTACTACACTGAAAAAAAAATGGTACGACATCGAACCCAAAAGGCTGTTTTGGACTAAAAAAAGGTTTCGTGCATAGTACGGAATCTTAAAGGATTTCGATTTCGTTCCAATTCTCTGAACCCTTTTAGGTTTCGTAGATAGAACTATGAAACACTTGAAAAAGTATTCTAAGCCTATGACGATTATTTTCAGGCACCCGAATTTTTCACGAAACCTTTTGAGGGTTCCGTGTTTATTTCGAAAATGGTTCGGTGCATTAGAAAAAAATTAGTATGATTACCAAACCCTTTTTAAAATGAATACGGAACCCTCAAAAAGGTTTCGTAAAAACTTCGGTTGCCTGAAAATAATCGTCATAGACTTAGAATACTTTTTCAAGTGTTTCATAGTTCTATCTACGAANTGTTTTAAATTCGTTGTATTTTTTTGTAAAAACACATTCGTGTATTTTTAAGTCAATGTTTTATTTTTTTATTGTAATTTAAGTGTTTCTTGTAGTTTTACTTTTTTTGTGTGTGAGAAATATTTTTTTTGCTATTGAGAGCAAAGTCTTTCAATAAAATAAAATAAAAAAAGAAATAAAAAAAATAATGCATCGTGTAGTAGTTAGTATCACTACAGAGGCATTGGTCGATACTACCTAATTTATTTAAAGAACCAATAGGAAAATTACTAAAGTGCGTTACTACACTTTTTGGTACGCGTGACGTACGCGTGTTCGTCACGCTCGGTACGCGCATTTTGCGTGACGTTCGTACGTGTACGAGGCGTGTTGTACTATACGCGCACCAAGAGTGACGACACGCGTACCAATAGCGTTCGGGTTGACTTGGGTATAGTTTTTCTAAGCTAGTAGATGTCACCGGTATATTTTTTTCTTGTATAAATATTTTTGTTTTTCAGTTCGTTAGTTAGTCACATTTTGATCTTCAAACTATTTATTTTTCATTACTAAAAACAATATCATTGCTTTTCATGTTCAAAAAATAAAATTCTTCATCATCAAGGTTTAACAATAGAATTTCATTGGTTAATCAAATAAACAAATTAGCAATGAATGAATTGAAGTGATGACGGTCGTGCGAAAGAAAGAAAATTCTGTTGAGTTTTTTTTGTATTCTTTGATTCAGTTTTTTTTCTTTTCTTTTAAAAGCTGTTTGTCTAGCGTAGGCGTTCGATGGCAACAATCGAATTTTACTGCCAAAAAAATGTTCCAGTTTCACTTTTAATTAACATCTTTATCTATTTAAATATTTCATTGATTCTAAAAAAATAACAACAAAATAAATCGAATACAATAAAAATGACATTTAATTTAAAGAAAAAATAAAAATTTATTTCAGATCTATTTCTTTTTTTTTCGTCGTTAAGACTAATGGATGAGAGTAATAATAATATATTTGATGTGCTTGAATCGGTTTGTTTAAAATTTATTTTTTAAAATCTTAATCAATTTATAAGTTTATATAGCCATCATCAACAAAAATATTAAAAATAACTTCAACATCAACTAATGTATTATCTATGCGTCGTTCTCATCTTCCATTGATCAATGCTGGCAATGGATTGCATTCATCTTCAACTTCTACTACAAATACATCTTCATCATCAAATGAACCTCAACGAAAAAAACGAAAAGTAATATAATCATATTCAATCAATTTAAATTAAATCTAGAATTTTGAAATTTAGGATCGAGCTCTTCAAGATCTCGGATTTGTAAATCCAGGTCCAAAAAATTTAGTTAATGTTGCTAATGTGCCATCAAGACGTTTAAAAACTCGACAATCATCAGCACAAGAAAAACCAAGGTAAGAAAAGAACAATTTCATAACGATCATTATTTTTTGTGTTAAAATAAATGCCCTGATATCGACAAAGAGGGTAAGATTTCATTCATGAATAACTTATATCAACAGTTACAAAACGATAGTGAACAAATATTTTTCTAAGAAGCCAAGAATTTTACTTTGAGTACAGACAAAAATGAAATAAATAATTGTTTACAAACTTATATGATAACGAATATCAATGTAAAGTCGTAGAAATATGCAATCCTTTTTTCGATGATTTTCCTTTTTAAACAACCATACGTTATTCTGTTCTCCGAATGTTTTAAAACTGACTATCTCCACCTACGACTACTGAATATTTGATAAGAGAAATATGATATTAAGCGAGAGAGACAAAATCTTACATTCATAATTTTTTGATGAATCATTACATTGATATAACATGTCTGTTGTATGAACTAGTTGATATGAAAACATGTTTGAAATATAATCTTTGTAAGTATTTACGTAGTTTATCAATATTTATAGATTCTACATTTCATTCATTGACAAAAATTGACTAATAAATTAGGATTCTTACAGAAATAATGATAAGATAAATATAAATTTTATTTATTTCATATGACTAATAGCTGTTCGTCGGTTTGTTTTTCGGTAAGCATATAAAAAGTAATGATATATAAACAGCCATAGACACATTCAAAAACAAAAACTCAAGTTTGACAATATAAACTTTCAATATTTATGTATTAGATTTTGAACTGTAACCATGATTTTATTCTATTGACTAAAGATAAATTCATACAAGCACATGCTTTACTAGAGATTGAACGGAATAGTAAAAAAGAGAAAATTGTAATCCGTACGATCGTATCGATAAGTGGTATAAATATGGATGTACGTATTAGAATCTAATAAACAAATATTTTAATCGGATTTCACAACCGGTCGTGTATGCAATAATAATGGCAAGTACTCTACAAAATAATGTTTATATAGAAAAATGAAAATTCTTTTTTTCTTTTTGTTCGACAAAATGTCATGCAAGCTGAGACAGTTGAATAAATATGGGTCAATATATTAAAATGTTTTGCCTTGTAAATTACTTACTAAAATAAAAATAGTTATTCTACTCAGATTTTATTTGTAGGAATTTATCTCTAGTCGAATTCTAATTTTGCCTACAATATTTGTTTAAGTTGTTAAAAAGAATATATATCTAGTTCATTTTAAAGGCGATTTCTTTAAATTGGGTAAAAAGAAAGATTCGAAGCATTCGATTCTGAATTCTTAAAACTTGCTTAGAATACTTCGTCTCATGAGTGAAGTCCACCGAGTTTGAGATGAACACAATGGGCTCTACTCAGAGGGGAAGTCTCCCTACGGAAAAATTGTTGTTAGATCAGCACAATGTAACTCCAAATGAGTTTTGAATATTCTGAAAAAACTTCGAGTCCTTAGTTTATTATTGCGGAAGATAAGATAAATTTATGGTAGTTTTTAAATGAACGCTATAGTCGCTCTCACGAAAACTGATTTTATCTGAAACACTTCATACAGATATAGATTTTAATGAGAACAGTTTATTGTAATAGTTTTAGTTCTTTTGATTCGCTTCTATCTTGAAATAAGAATATCGAATATACCGCTATAGTGAATGATGTAAAAGTAATTAGACAAAGTGTTCATTAATATTTCTACCTTTTTAAGGAGCCTGCAGAAATTTGAAAAACATTGGGTAAGAATCAGAACTTTGTATTGTTTCCAAATATGGATTCAAAATTTTTTGTAAGATTTTTTGTTTGAAAATTACGAATCAACCTTTTAGAAACGCTAGAACTAAGTTTAGACGAAAAAAAAATGATACTTTTTATTGCTATAATCTTCTTTACTACATATGCTATATATTACCGATTTCTTTGCGTAGAATTAAAGACAAAATCGTTCTCAACAAAGTAATATATAAGAATCAAGAGTTTCGGAACAATCATTCGAGAATAGCCGAGCTCAGTGTGTAAATCTATTTACTATAGAAATTGAGAGGATTGTCTAAATTGATATGGCGTCCCTTACAAACATTCGCTGTTAACAAATGACTAAGAGTTAACTACTTATTAATATACCATTTTATTGAGAAATATTTATTCTTTCATTCATTTTATTTTAAATAATTTTCGCTTTTACGTTAGATAATTGTTGTGGCGTTAAAGTTTGTCGAAACTTAATTTACAAGTTTCTAAAAATCCCACTCATAACTCCGAAATCAGAAGTCCTACAAAAATGTTAAACCTAGATTCGATAAGAACATAAAGTTCTTATTCTAACCTAATGTTTTCAAATTTCTGCAGGTTCCTTAAAAAAGCTGAAAAATGAATGAATGTTTTGTGTAGTAACAAGGTTTTGAAACACTTACAAGAAACTATTCTTGTTAAAAACTATCTCTATGCAAAGTTTTAATTTGTACGTTGAATATTAGTTTTTCTGCGAGGGGATAGGATCGCAGCATTTATTTAAAAACTGCTATAAAAGTACAATATCTCGACAGCATTAAGCGATAGGCTGAGCTGTTCTCAGAGTATTCCTAATTCATTTGGATGTATATAATGTATGTAGTCTTGACTCAAAAATGATTTTATCACTAGGAAGATTTAGTGTCTCGTCAGTGGAAATCAAATGTTAGTTTTTGTATATCTTTAAAAAAAAACTTTCTTTTTAATTTTTTTAATTTTAGTTCAAGTAAACCATTATATGATAAATCAGGTCTTCTTGTTTCTGATGAAACAGATCGATGTGATTGTAACCGTTTAACATGTCTTGGTTGTTTCTTGCCTTGTACAGCATGTCATTCATCAAAATGTGGTCTCGAATGTCGTATGTATATAAACATATCTGAGACAATTTCCATATTTATTTTCTTTTTTTTTCGAATATTAGGTAATCTTCGAACTTATACATATGAATATCGTTTATTTGGTACAAATAAAGAAATAATTCAATAATTAAAATGCATTGAACAATGTTTTTTTTTGAAAGAGGAAAAAAGTCTCAAACAGAATAGTTGTTATATGTTCTTGTTTGTATATAATATTAATTATTCTGACATATGTTTTGTTTTTTTCTTGACTCCTTAGAAGCATTCCTAAATTTGATTTCTTTAACTCATAATGAGTTAATTTCTATTTCTAGAATAAAAAAAACCAAGCATATGTTAGGACAAAAAGCACAACGTAAAAAGAAAACAACAACAATAACGACTAGTAAAACTACTAATGTTTCATTAGAAAGTAGTTTAACAGCAATGGATTGGTTACCTAAAATGCAAATAGGTGAAAATCCATTACCATCATCAACAACACCTATCAAAGAATCATTGCTAAATCCATCATCTTCATCATCATCATCATCATCATCATCATCATCATCATCGTCATCATCACTTCCAATGGCTTTATCAACAACAACTATTCAACAAAAACTAGAACCAAACGAAATTGAATTACCAACATCAACTAATCATTTAAAACCTCCATATAGTTATGTAACATTAATTAAACAAGCTATATTAAGTGCTGCTATGCAGAGAATGACATTAAATGAAATTTATCAATGGATTGTTGATTCATATCCATATTTTCGTACAGCACCTCCAAAATGGAAGGTTTGATTTGAATATTCTTTTTTTTTGAAACCATAATTTAGTTTTTCTAAAGAATTCAATTCGACATAATTTATCATTGAATAAATGTTTTAAAAGACTTCAAAGAAGTACAAATGATCCGGGCAAAGTAAAAGAAAAAGAATAGTTTTATCAATTTTTTTTGGTGATTTATATTAGGGTTCTTATTGGGCAATTGATGAATCAAATGAAATCAATCATCAATCGAGTTCTCGTAAACGACGAGTATGAGAAAAAGAAATATTCTTTTAATATTAATTTAATTAATTATAATATAGTTTGACACACATCAATCTCTTCCAATATTATCTTCATCACCAACTCATATAAATCAAAAATCAACTGTTTTTCATACGAATAATGATCCAATAATATATGGTGATGGTAGTAATATTGGTGGACAATCATTATCAGCTGATGAATCAGATTCGACTATGTCACTTGCACTAAGTGTAAGAAAAAATACAATTTTAGAAAATGAAAATTTATTTTATTTATTTATATAGTCTACATTAATACATTTGGATGACTTGAATCCTGATTTAAATACTTCATTTCATCAATTTTGTAAACAAATTGTAGAAGGTCCGCCTACGACATGGATCACAAATTCTGGTACGTAACATTGCTCTTTCAACAAATAAAGTATTTATACTGAGATATTCTCGAAAAAAATACATATGAACGATTAACAATATTTTATATATATTTTGCATTAATTCAAATAGAGCCATTGTCAACAAATACTGCTATTCCAAATTCCTGGGTTCATGATCTTTTTCCTCATGGAGAAGCAAATAGTTTTGTTGAAAGTGTTAAATTGGGATCGAATCGTGAAATCAATTGGAATGATATTGATGTTAAACCTTATTGCGGTAAGATTGCTTTCATTTATAGAATTATTTTGTGAAACATGATCTAAAATGAATGTTGAAGTATAGGGACAAAAACAGAGACCTTGACAGATGCTAGTCAGTTAAACAAATAATGAAAAAAAACGCGTTGAAATTTTAACGCAAATAAAATCATAAAAAGCGTACCATTTTACGCGTTAAATTTTGAACAACTATTGATTCGTTCGAAAACTTTAATGCTAAAAAATGTGTGCTTTTTGAGATTTCGTTTTCTTTCAAGATGCTTAACGTGTTCTTACATGTTCGTTTGCGGAACTCAGTAAAACGCTGGAGAAAATAGCTATATCCATGAATTTAGTTTGCTAGAACAATAATTTAGATGAGTTCTTAATTATTAAAATCCTAAGAACTCATTTAAACTATTGTTCTAGAAAACTAAGCTCATGGACAGTGCTATTTAATCTAGCAATTTACTCAGTTCAGAAGTCAAACACAGAGTAACACGTGAAACTCTACGATAAAAAGAAGATTCGACAGTTCAGCTTCAATAGATTATTATCATGAAAATTTATAATATTTATAAGCTTTATCTAAAAAAAACTGGAAATTAAATAAAGTTTTCGCTCTCTTGGAATACTCCTGTCTTGTATATTACAGGACAATTACTAATGACGTGTTGCAGGGTGTGGGGTGGATGTTAATGTAGTTTTGGATTTGTATGGGCTGGAAGAAGACCCACAACCACACACTAGAACAGTTACTAATGAGTTATAGGTGTTGTTAGATACTGCATTACTTAATCGTACCGAACAATGTGCATGCAGTCTATCATTTATTTTGAGCGAGGCTACATATGAAAAGCTCAAATGTTGGTGTACCCGATAAAAACTATTCTAACTACAGGAAGTTCATCTAACCATCGCACGCTGTGTGAAAGTAATGCATATAAACAATGTTTATTCCTAGCCAAAACAAATATCGAAGATATAGATTGAAGACTACATCTAAACAACCACACAAAGTTTTATTTACGGAACTTCTATCATTAGTGAAAAGATGCATCATTGGATAAAATTTATTAAGTATTAAAATAATTATAGTAGATTTATTTTACTAAGTCGAATCCTAAACTACATTCGAGCGTCAGTTTTTATATATGTCCGATGAAAAATATATAGTGTAAAAGAATAAATAAAAATGATCTGATGAAATTATTCTAAGATAATTTTCAATAAAACATTTTCTTATTAATAATAGAAGTTGAGTTCAAGAAATTTTGGATAATAATATAGATATTACTCTTTATATATATACATGCTCGATCTCTGTCCAACATTACATACTAAAAAGCTATGAAGAATTGAAAGGGATTAAAAGCTTATAAAACACTGTATATATGATCAAAACTTATTAATAATATCTAACTCACACTATTTGCTTCTTCATTATCTCTGCTGACGTAAATAGAGAAAATCAAAAAAAGACAATTCTAAAAGAAAGAAACAAGATTGATGAGGTAACTGTTTCAAGTGACAAATCTTTTTTTTGAATATGGACTCTACGCATATGATAGAATCGATTGAGATATGAAGAACCCCATGAGGATAAGCGCTTTTCGGTTTGATCTCCAAAGATATAAGTCTTTTACTATAATCTTAATCTATAGGACAGCATACACAAACCACTCGAATAGTGATATTTTGATTTGAAATTTTCAGCTCAAGAGAATGTTTCCTCTACGAGATATTGAATTTCCAAAAATGATTCATATTTCATGAAAGATGTGACAATCTCATGCTTTCTGAAAATTCAATATGTCATAGAGGTAATATTCTTTTGAGCTAAAAATTTCAATTCAAAATACCACTATTCGAATGATTTATGTATACCGTCCTATAGGCTAAGATTCTAGTAAAATAGATATAACTCTGGAGGGTACACCTAAGGATGTTTATTCTTTGGTGTTTTTCGGTACTTACTGGTATCTATCATATGCAAAGAGTTCGAATTCAAAAATAATCTATCATTTGAAATGGTTCCTTGGTAAGATAAGTGAGATAATAATGATCGACTGCTTCAAATATAACTAGGTTGCTTAATCAGAGTCAAGAGTTTCATTGAAATCAGAATAGTTTAAAGACTGGCCTGTATCATCCAGTCGATCATCTGAGAATACTGATCTATCAACTATATCAGATCTTAATAGACTATAGGAATGAAAAATAGAATAAGTTCCCTCCTCCAAAAAAATATATCAAGTTATGCACCGTAAAAAAAAAATAAAAAAGTTACAAAAGAAGGGGCTGATTGAGTAAAACACGGAAACAAATAAGATAGTTAACTAATATCATACGGGGATGAAAAACTAACACTGATAACAACTAAGGAGAAAAACGAAAAATATATTTAAACGTTCTTATAAACGGCTAGATTATTTAAATTACTTTTTACAAATTTGAAATATTATCTCAGAATGACGATGCGATAATAATCGAAATTATTCAGAACCAGGGTATTCGATGTACTAAATAATTCTAAAGAGATAATGACTCATGAAAACTTAAAACACATTGTCAACAAGGGTCAAGCAAAAAAGCCATTCACACAACCGTCATTTTTTATTTCAAACCTTCCATAGCAAATTTATATTTTTCTTCACTTCTCTAAATAGAAAATATTATTTCGAATATATTGTGTAACCCTTCTTTGACTCATTGAAAAAGATATTAATCTACATATAGTTTCGTCGCAAATATCATCTAATGCAAAGTATGCAAATTCAGTTCCTGATAAAAAAAAACAGCACAAAAAACATAAAGGTAGTTACACACTTCAATCGTTTCTTTTCACTCAAAACAAGTTTTTTTTTGTTTACAACATGCTGCAGAAATGTAGTTGTTTTTCGTTGTATTATTAAGTTTGTCGTCCTCTTTTAACAATACTAAACACAATATATAATATTCTATATTTATTCTTTATTACTTCTTAATTATATCATCTTTCACAACAGATACTTCTTCAGATCAGCGACACCGAAGTATCCACACTTTTTGATGTGCTCTGCTAGTTAGACTAATAAGTGTATAGAGTGTCGTCGATTTAAAGAAGTACTCAGCAAGTTGCGTCACTTATTTACACCGAAACGAAAAACCAAGAGCTTAAATGATTCTAAGAAAACTCAACCGTCAAATATATCAGCTGCCTCTTTTGCATTTAGAGTAATATCAAGAGACGAGTTCCTTTGAACGCATGATGATTGAATATAATAATATTCATGCAGACAAATACACGTAAAAATGTGTTTGGTTAGCTAACCTTTCCGCATTAACACGCGCTGCAGTCTTTGCACCAGAGATGCAGAATCTGCTGTGATTTTAAAAAATTTCCCCGTACGATGGTGTCTTCCCCCAGCTATTTCCCCAAAATTCTCCTATGAATCGAAACTCTTCCCCATACGGTCGTACGCGCACACGGGTAGATTCTGCACCTCTGCTTTGCACGCGACAAAACTCATCAAAGTCACACTACAAACAGGTAAAAACGCGTGAAATCTAGAAGGATCTTACGCGTTTTAACGTTCTTTTTACTGAGTCTTGTCTGACTGAATAGCTAGAGATCGTCACAGGTCGTGACAAACGTTGTCGATATGCAACTGAAGACCGTATATGAATAGCATCTTGTTCTAATATATAAACTACTTCCTTATTGCATTTCTAGAGGGATAAGTAAAAGGATAGTGAAGAAATGTATTCAACAATAGATAGAATAAAACCAGATCCTTGTGACTAGCAACATCAGTTACATTATGTTTCACATTTTAATCATGCAAGGATTGTGCTAACAGCTTTTTAACGTAATATGTGTATGTGTATAGAATTTATCCATGGTTTTCGAACGAATCCAGCATTTCAACAACAAGATCGAGATAAATTACTTAATCTTGCTTCATCATTTTCGTCTTTTTTCGATTATACGGATATATCGAATTTAGCACAAAACGAAATTGCAAGTAAGAAACTTTCTTTTTAATAAATTGTCTTGATTTGAAAAAACATGTGAATATGATTTATAAACCTGAAGTAGTCAGTAAGTTTTTCCAATATGAAATAGATCAAAACTTGATAAGGTTTTCTTTTGTTTAGATGATTCTAAAGCTGTTGTTTTTGTAAATTTCGTATTCACCTCAAAGAGAATGGATAAAAATGAGTCATTCACGGAAATTATGACTTTATTCAAGTTTATAATAAATCCTTTATGCGCTATTACAAGATTAATACATTAATTATGATAAATTCTAGAAAGTTTGTCTCGTTACTCTCTTGTTATTTAGCGTTCCAGTAGATTGTGAAGTTAATTTTTTCCTTAGTATTCGTCTTAAATTTCAAGAATGACATAACCATCTCGATTGCATACTGGCCTATGAAGACAAACAGACGCAAGAATAAGAAGACTAATATTTTCATATAGTTCATTCTAATCTGTGGTTTATCAATGGTTCATCTAATAAAAGTTCATCTGTATTGAATGAGACACTAAGAATAGTTTTTCTTTAATGAATATCATTCTTTTATTTTCGTAATAAATAGTAGATTTTAGGTAAAATTATTTGTTAAATTATTCAAAAATGAGTTCATTTTTTGTACATATCGAAAATTAAAATATAGAAATTTTATCATACGAAATTAATTGATGATTTAAAAAAAAAGTGTAATCAATAAATATTAAAATACACTTATTTGATTTTCTTTGTATATAGATGAATCCATCACAGCAAATCGATTGCCAATTATATCTAATGGAACAATATCTGAATCAACTAACAATGTGAATTATATTCTTTATAGTGTTTCTTTTTACAATTTCTTTTGACATATTTTTCAGTTGACGGCTCTTCCAGTTGTAATAGAAGACGAAATTTTTGATTGGGATTCAATTACACAATGTATGTAGTTCATTATATATTTATATATATATAAATGAACGTATTATATTTTATTTGCTTTCCCTAATTTTCTTTACCGTCCAAATAATGGAAAAATGCTCAACAGTATCATAATTGTCATTCGTTAGATATATATACATATATA